CAATATTCAAGCAATATGACGTAGGGGGACAACAGAAATATGCTTCACACATTGCATCCATGTGGGGAATCAAACCCGGGTCTTCGGCGTGACGAGTGAACGCTTTAACCACTAGGCCACGAGACCGCACTCATGGAGAAAACAAGACAAGAAGTTAAGTATGTTACTTTAAGGTTTCACAAGTTACAAATTGAAAACGAACTACATAACTTGACTCAACTGTAAAACTCTACTCTTGGTAAAACCCTTTAACCCTCTGGATGCCGAGGTTTTTTTTCTGACGCTCATTTTCCCAAGATCTGAAAAGTTAAGATTGTGCAAGAATTGCACTCACGCGGCACTGGATCTACCTCCGGCTATAAAATAACGCAGAGATGTAGAATATTGCATCGGTTTGAAAAAATGACACTGCTAAATGTTGTCTGAGAATTTATTCTGCGTTGAAAAACAGTAAATTTCGCCACTTTTTATCGTACACTGATAAAAATACTGTGCGACGATGTTTTTTTAATTTGGCTGTTTTACAGAAACTGTGAGCGAACAAATATTGCCTTATATCTGAACGCCATAAATATATATCAAATGGATTTATATGCTTATGTATAACGTAATACATTCAATATAAAAAATAGCCTGCTGTAAATGACTTAAACGGATTTTCCACTATGCATCAAAAGACAACACACTTTACACACGTACAAAGACAAGGGAGCATAACTCCGCTCTACTTAGCACTAGTTTATTGTAACTCAGGTAACTTGGGTAAGAATAAGCTGTGGATAAGGGCAATATATTTTCTTGCTGATTTGAGGAAGCAAACTTTTCCATCACAAATATAGATAATGAAAGTGTATACGTTTAGGCATAAACAAACCCATAAGAAATGATGAAATCGTACTTCTTAAAAGAAGAAGTAAAAGCGAAATATATAGCCCTATCTAACCTACAAATTAGTCCTTAGATTCCGACATTCTCCTGATAGTGCAAGTGTAATTTGACTAATGTTGCACCATTATTAATGGAACACTAGCCCTTTCATCAAATGTATAGAGGATATTTCATGTGTCGAGTGAAATATCATGTTTCTCTCACCGAGTGACTGGGGGAAAGGAGATATTTTCACGAGTGGCGTAGCTTTTGGTGTAGTTGTCTGCAGGAAGATTAAATTATTTCATTACAAATGTAAAACCTTCAAGCGTAAATTCTCCCTACATAACACACATGGACGGTTTTCCACCCCCTGTAAGTACGACTAAAAATGTAGTTCCGTCTTTGCTAAATCTTAAAAAATATAAACAAATGTAACCATATATTTGATGTCACTAAAATTCTTTAGTATAAATTTGGATATGATTATATACAAAATCAACTTCATCAAAAAATAAATGTCAAATCAATGAGACGGTTGTTCGAAGCGAAAGAATACACGCAATTCAAGTAACAAAATGGCGCTTTGCGAAATATAAAGTATCGACTGACAAATCAGAAGAGAAATTCACAGTTTAATACAAATCATTTTCAACAAAATAACAAAAGGTAAGAATCGGTATTAACTACATAAATGACCATCTGTCATTATATGACTTGTCAACGTTGAACTGACGTAAATCAACAGTATTAACGGTATTAACTACATAAATGACCATCTGTCATTATATGACTTGTCAACGTTGAACTGACGTAAATCAACAGTTAAATTCCCAAATTTAAACTGACGTGCGACATGAAACAGTTAAATATGTGATTGAAGACAATCCAAAGATGATGCAATATAAAGAGCAACTGATCTACTTGACCCGGCGCTTGTGCAACACAGTGACAGTTAGACTGTCAGGCAAATTGATGCTATGTTTGGCTAAAGAACTGAGGTTGTATACAACACAACATTCACACAGCTCGTTGTATGCAAGTACTTGTACGAGCTGAAGTTGTATACAACTCGGCATTCACATGGCTTGTTGTATGCAAGTAGTTGTACGAGCTGAAGTTGTATACAACTCGGCATTCACGTGGCTCGTTGTATACAAGTAGTTGTACGAGCTGAAGTTGTATACAACTCGGCATTCACGTGGCTCGTTGTATACAAGTAGTTGTACGAGCTGAAGTTGTATACAACTCGGCATTCACGTGGCTTGTTGTATGCAAGTAGTCGTACGAGCTGAAGTTGTATACAACACAACATTCACACAGCTCGTTGTATACAAGTAGTTGTACGAGCTGAAGTTGTATACAACTCGGCATTCACGCGGCTCGTTGTATGCAAGTAGTTGTACGAGCTGAAGTTGTATACAACTCGGCATTCACGTGGCTTGTTGTATGCAAGTAGTTGTACGAGCTGAAGTTGTATACAACTCGGCATTCACGCGGCTTGTTGTATGCAAGTAGTTGTACAAGCTGAAGTTGTATACAACTCGGCATTCACGCGGCTTGTTGTATGCAAGTAGTTGTACGAGCTGAAGTTGTATACAACACAACATTCACGCGGCCTGTTGTATGCAAGTAGTTGTACGAGCTGAAGTTGTATACAACTCGGCATTCATGCAGCTTGTTGTATGCAAGTAGTTGTACAAGCTGAAGTTAAATACAACTTGGCATTCACACGACGGCGAGTTGCATCCAGCTCGGATATCGCGAGTTCTGACCAAAAGCTTGTGATTCACTATATTACTGCTGTAATCCTGGTTGCCGAAATAATTTTCAGACCCACAGCTTTGAAAATTAAATGCTGAGCGAGAATTGCGGTCGTGCGGTATTGTCTCAACCTCTGACATTGTAATTCAAATCCATAGTGGAAAAGGAATGACTTAGAAAACTCATGCAAAAAGAACTAAATGTTGTCCAAATTGCTAAAGAAAAAACTCTAAAATTTGTAGCCACAGTTTATCGTACAGTAAAGTACAGTGCGACAAAATGTTATATTTGACAGCTTTATGTAAACTGTGAGCAATCATAATATATATAGTCTTATATCCGAACAAGTCAAATGTACTACGAAAAGGGGGCATAACTCCGCAATGCTAAACTGTAAGCCATTGTAACTCCGTATCCGCCATGTCCGTGGCGAGGCTCTGCTATGGCTCACAACAATATATTCTTGTATGTTTGTGTCCATGTGTACCAAAAATGTTCCCATACAGCTATCGATATTGATAACATCGGTCCTTTTCTCGGATATTGAATGATTATCATCCAACATGTCCTGATGACATATTTCAAGATTGCCAATAATATAGAAAAATGTCCTATAAAAGTCATGAAAGTGCCCTAGAGCCAGTTGAAGCCAGATTCTTTTCGGTTTAATCTCAATTTAAAAGTAACGTTCTACCCAAAACTGACAGTATATATTAGCACTAATATTTGTTCATAGAATGAAAATTTTCAAAAGAATAGAATTTTAGGTTTTATGAATAGGGTCGGTCCCCATAAACGCACACATGATGCAATCTTAAGACGTCAAATGTTTCACCAATCAAACGATAAAATACAAATATAAAACAAATAAATTTGTCCAAACTTGTGTGAGCATTAATAAAACTATAAAATGACGAAGTTCCTAAAGGTATAAAACCGCCTCCGTGATCAACAGTTGCATAGCATCCATCCACCAGGAGAGCGGTCCCCGGTTCGATCCCAGGCCGTGTCATACCAATAGACGTAAAAAAGGGGGTGCTTGTTGTTGCCCTGTCAGGTGCTCGGCATTAAGAGATTAAAGCAAGGACTGGTCTTCTCGGACTCAGTAGACTGCTTCTGAGTGGGGTATTCATGTTTAACTGCGATAGTGTAATTTCGGCGGCAATTTGAAGACGAAATACAATATAAAACCTTGGGCAGAAAGTAGAAGGGTCTGTTTTTCGAATGTGTTCCTTCAACTACTTGTTTTTAGTATTCATGTACCTCAAATTGGGCAAATCTCGAATACACGTAATATTTTCTAGTTTATTAAATTCAGTTTTTCATTTATGTTTATATTCTATTTGCAAACGCTATTTCGACTATTAAGGTTTATGTTAACAACCTATAAAGCATAAAATAATTAAATGAACTTTGGAATCCATTTTGCACCACCTAGGCATTTGAAGTGCACTTGTAACAAGTAATAAGACATCGGATCATCATGACCGTGGTGACACTCGTGTCACGTATTATCTCTTTAGGTTGAAACCTGATCTATAGATTACACATATGGCCCTGTCATAGCGACACAAGATTTCATTCAGACTGAGAGTTATCCTTGTGTGGTTCTTTTTGTATATGTTTCAAAACACTGTGAATAAAGTAGATCACAGCAGCTATAAAACACACGAAGAGGCGCCCATGCATCCCGTACTTATTGCTACACCACATTAAAAATACTTTAGTACAGTTCTATCACGACGTCATTCCCGGAGATTCAAATTTGCACTCGCCAATTGATGACGTATTTTGGACGAGGTTATTTTTTAGATTGAAGTGTCGAGTGAGTTGTTCGCCAGCGATGTAGCTGGGAAACGTAGACAAACGCAATTGTCGAACAATCGCATCCAAAAGTTGGATATATATAAGAAAATCATGTTGTTGCACTGACAGGCGATTCTAGTTTTGTATTGCTGTTGAACGTATGTGACTTTGCTGTTGTACATGTTGTTGCACTGACAGGCGATTCTAGTTTTGTATTGCTGTTGAACGTATGTGGCTTTGCTGTTGTACATGTTGTTGCACTGACAGGCGATTCTAGTTTTGTATTGCTGTTGAACGTATGTGGCTTTGCTGTTGTACATGTTGTTGCACTGACAGGCGATTCTAGTTTTGTATTGCTGTTGAACGTATGTGACTTTGCTGTTGTACATGTTGTTGCACTGACAGGCGACTCTGGTATTGTATTGCTGTTGAACGTATGTGGCTTTGCTGTGTTAGATGTTTGTTTACTGAAGGCGAATCTGGTATTGTATTGCTATGAAAAGTACACATGTTCTCCGTTCTCCACTGAAAGCAAAACAGTTCTTACCTGAAAATACACTTACTTTTTGACTCCCTTCTCTTCACCAATATGTCCACCCCTCCCACGCCCTGCGCACTGCTCTGTAGCAAGGCATACCTCGACCCAGTAGATAACACTGACATATACATTAGGTAAGCAAGCAATCTGAACTGACCAAAGTTCCCTATACACACAGCCTGACATGTGATCCAGCTAGGAGAGGGCAAACCACCGCATGATTAATAAACTACTTGTCTAAAGCACACTCATACGCTATGCACAGGTGCGTCCATTTACGGCCACCAGTCGATTTATCCGGGTCAAGTTGCTTTGTTGTGGTATAACTGAAATACTGTAGTGAAAGTATGTGCCAAAACACTGACTCACTGACTCACTCAATCACCCCAAACCCAATCACTCGAAATATATTCACTCACTCACTCGCTCAAACTATATTCACTCTCACACCCAAAACGTACTCGATAACCAAAATTCATTCACTCACCAAAACATGTTACTCACTCACCAAATCTATTTGGTTTTTTTCCGAAGTTGAGAAAAGTGATATTTTCAGTGCAGTGAACATAACAATTGATATTTCACAACACAACACAACACCTGATATTATACACGACCGTCATGACCTCCCTTCAAATTGTTTCCCTTTATCATAAGTGTGAAGCCCTTTCTCAAACTGTCGTCTTCCCTTTTACGTTAGTTCCACATTGACAAGCAATATAATGACAGATGGCCATTTGTGGAGTTAATATCGCTTCAGGCTGTTTGTTAGTCTCTGAAAATGCTTTGTTATATGCTGGAAATTTCTCACTTAACTCGTCATTTGAGAATTTTCGCTTCGCAAAGCGCCATTTTTGTCACTTGACCAGCGTGTATTCTTTCGCTTCAGACAGCGGTTTGGTAGTTTTCAAGAATAATTTCTGTTAAAGTTGATTTTGTATATAATCTTATATATATGTATGATATAGAAATGTTCGTACTCCTAATTATTTGTGCTACTTTTGATTATATTTTTTTAAGATTTTAAAACACGAAACCACTATTTAGCAACAAACATGGTGTGTGTGTGTGTGTGTGTGTGTGTGTGTGTGTGTGGTGAATTGTCCCTGTGTGTTAGGTTGGAATAATTTGCGTTTCAAGGTTATACATCTGTGATGAAATAATAAAATGTCCTGTAGACAACTACACAAAAAGTATATAACAAATAGGATATTTCATTTGACAAGTGAAATATCAGATATTTTCACAGTTGCTGTATGAGAAAAAACATGATATTTTACTTGACACATGAAAAATATTCTATATATGCTTAACATACACAAGTGGTATGAAACGGTAAAGCAATGTATAAAACTATAACATACAACAGCAACTCATATTAAACACACGCCCTTATTTACTTGCCACTTGTACTTGCACTTAGATGTAAGTCCGACCATTTGTAGAAATATCTTTGTTGATTCTATTTATTACTTTATCGCATTTATTTACGACTTGACGTCTTTATATTGCTTTTTTGACATTTTTGATGTGGACCCGTTGTCGAAGCATGTGACATGCAAACCAGTGCATAAACAATAGGGCCATGGAGCTGCACGCATTGCACGTAGTAAATGCAGGGTTTTTGTCCGTATGGCATCTGCGTCAATCGAAAACAGTGACAGTTCATCAACATGCCAAGATTAACAGAAGTGCAACAACGTCATAGGCCACTTGCAGGCAGGGGAATCCCGACCAGCTGTAGCCAGGGTTTTCAATGTGGTGGCCAGCACCATTACAAGGCAATGGGATCAGTTTCAACAGCAAGGGTCAACACGTGATCGGCCAAGGTCGGGACGACCACGAGTAACCCTGCCCTAAATCGCTATATCCGACTGCGCCATCTACGTGGAAGGACGACCACAGCCACCTCAAACGCATCCCGAATACCCAGAATCTCCGACCAGACCAGTCTAACTGCATCTCAAACCTACTCAACTGTACAAACACCCGTCAGCATAGTCTGTACATCACTTGCTTGATAACGGTGTTAGAACCTACACCGAAACGTCACTCCTATTGTAATAAAGAGGTTGTTCATCCATATATCTTATCCTCACTTAGTACTCCAACTTCTAAATGCTTCTCAAAGAAAATACCACAAGTATTCACGTGTCTTTTTCACTCAATTGATAAAGTAGTGAAATTGACGGACAAAAGTGCGGTTCATCTATAATTTTGTTTGAACTATGTTTATCTTAATTAAAACCTGACTTTGGGATAAATGGCTTTCAGTCTATTATGTTTTCCCTGTTAGGGATACAATTACCACAGGAGTCATATATTACATGATCATGTTGAAGAACTATAAGATCTTGATTTTGAAAACCCACTCACTCAGGGGAAAACTTGAAACATTATTTTTCTTCATGATTTTGCTATTTTGGTGTTTTTTTAGCATTGTCGCAATTATCCCACTCATCCACTATATAAACATGATCTACCACCATATCTCAAGAAGCAGTTTTCCTCAAAATGATTCTTTTTGGGGGGTGGGCTAACATTGTAAACAATACAATATCTCAGCTCCTATGTGATATATTTTCATTTTGTATAGGATAGCATAATGGTGCAAGCAGATTTTAGCGGTTTCGTTGTCTCAATTCAATGGAATTTGTGTTTTACCTAGTCACAAGATTGGAAAATGAAGTAAAAAACATCATGTTATCATTGTTTTCACTGACAATTAGAATAACAGTTACATGAAACAATATGTTTGCCAAATTCAGATAACATATTACCTGAAATCAAAAACATAATTTGGATAGTTTAATGATTTAATAAAAATGTTGTCAAATTATGCATTTTTCCTTCATTTTTGCAATGAATATACACGCACGCACTTACAACCTTTCTACCAATAGGAAATCGTGTTCAGAGACGTCCTTCATACAATATAAAAAGTTTTAGGTATACGGGAAAAAGTGGGAACGAAAATCTTAACTGAGCCTCTTTTTCTCAGGTGGCCAACTGACTATTAGCTAAAACTTCAGAATTGTTTAGCTTAGGGCTAGCATAGTCAGCAACGCCATCAAACTTGACAAAATCACAATTCGCATCAGTATTGCAATTTGATAATTTATCCACAAGAGGCAACACATTTGGTAGGTACAGTGACATTTCTTTCATGATACTTTCTGATCATATTGACATGACAAAGCTGTGTCTTTTTATGATGGTCTGGTGTTTGTACAACATAGTCAGTATCTCACATAAGGACCGTGGTACCTAGCACATAATGGTGGACCAGGGATAGACAAACACCCAAAGAGTTTATCGCAAGGACTCACATTTCATAATGTAAGCTTGTCCTGGGATTCCTTCAAGTTATCCACACCAACTTCACAAGCTTTGAAATCCTCGCCCGAACTGATGAGACATACTCCAACAAACTCATTTCAAACCTACCACTAATCCAATGCTACTGTAAGTGCTTTATATGTCCACGGGCAGAATGGCCAAAGACAAGGCCAAAAGGACGAAAACCGAGAGACTCCTGAACTAACTCCATCGCAGCAAACAACCAAACCTGCATCCTTTTAGTCTAATCCCAATCCTTCTAAGTCTCAAAACAGTAAGTCCTTGTCATATTCGTAAGATCCTGATTAAACCCCTCTAAAGCCCCTTAAGACTAAGGATGAGTTATGCCTAACAGGTGCGTGCTGAGGTGATACCAAACGGTATGTGCAAGTGACGATATCTGTCGAATTATGTTTCAAAGGTGCTAAGCAGTGAAGTCTCATGTGTCAAAGGTATCTGCCAGAACCCTTTTGAAGTATCCTTTCGGTGAATAGCTTTGCAGATGGCATTCTGGACATTATTTCTTCAATCATTTTCATTGGATAATGTCTCTTCAATGCACGTTTGAGATGCATGTCATCATGGTGTCACCACTGTCACTGCTAGTTTGACTCACAAAGTCAAATTCCGTTGATAATGTCTGTGTGATTTCTTGTTATCTTTTTTTCTGATAGTTCATTGAATTTACACAAGGTCACAGCTTTAGTTGATATCAGGTCTGTCTCTTACAATAACAACTTTCTCAAATGATCTGATGTTATTCCACACACGATTCTGTCTCTCAACATTTCATCCTTTAGAACTCCATTATTACACGCTAGAGGCGGAACGACGGTGCAGAGTGTCTTTCTGTTTATGATGCTGATTGACCGAAAATATTCAAAACATAACTGTGATCGTTAAAAATAACGTGGTATAATGATCGACGGGTCACGTTCGCATCCACGTTGTGTCGCGATTTCTTGTCTACAAGTTGTCTTACATGCTCGCCCGTTTTGATAAAAAAAGCTGTATTTCTCCTATAGATTTTATCTGTGTGTGTATCACATATATATTATAAATCGCATCTGAAAATTGAATAACTTATCATAACACGATAGGGTTCGTATTTCCTACATTCTTAGATCTTATTAGTTTTAGATTTACAAATTTTTGATGTTCAGTGAAGTCTAGATCATAATATTCTATCCCAATCCTTAACTTAGATTTGTCATGTTGTTTCAGCTATGAGTACACACTTTGGTTGTGTATATAATATCTTGTCAAGGAGAAAGATGCATGCATCATTGTGTTTATTTAGACTGTTGTTCAGTTCAAGTCATATATGTTCCCTCCATGCTGCATCTAGGCCAAAAGATGAAAAGAGAAAGATATATACTGATGGAAACGAATAAGGGAACAAGGAAAAATTTAACTTCACTGTGAGTACGTTTGCAATAGCGCGTTTTCAAATTCAACACATTCAAAATCAAATGTTGAGATGTATTTGTGTGCATTGTTTCCAACTCGTATTTGGCTGGCAACCCATGATAGCGTATCATTTTACTGTGTCTGAAACTAAATGTTCCTTTTATTTCCACCAGTATAATTGCTGAAAGCCATTTATATTAAAGACTTTGTTCGTTTTATTTTTTAATTCAGTTTCATATTCTGCTTTCCCTCTTATGCCAAATAATTCCATCAGTTTCATTGATCTACGATCATTATCTAATTTAAACTTTACTTGAAATATACGGATGTCTTAAAGTATACATGTATAAATCAAGGTGTAAATACATTTGCATTTATAAAAGAAAACACATATTAGGAAAGCAAACTTTATCCAGGTCCTTCAGATTTTCGTAATTTTCATTTTCTTTGTAGATATTACTTCCTCATTTCACCTGCGATTATTATCGTTTCCTTGTATGAAATCTACTCGTAGCCTACTCTACACCTCTTGTGCTTTCAAATTCACGGATCAAAATTTAAATAAATTAGGTTTAAACCATTTACAATGAATAATGACATCCGAAATATAATTAAGTGGTCTGCATGATTGCTCAACCAATGCTTGTCTGACATGGCGCTCGAGTTACGTGTGATCGAAAATAGGTTTGTTAAATAATTTTGCTGCAACTAGAAACGTTTCAACAATTTTGATCAAATCTACATAAACTTACTATTGGGTGATAGTATGTTAGTGTAATCTTGTTAATTATTAAGAAATGATCATGATGTCCGATATTGAGCGATATCAACTTGAGGATTGTTTAGTCTGTTTAGCCATTTTTTAAATTTTTTCCTTTGAAAATGTCTGATGTCAATCACCACGATGATGTTTTTTATCAATAATGAAAAAGCAAGGACACTGAAATATCTATTGACAAAACCGGATTTCCATCAAGATATATCATCCAAGCTGTCGTTCGTATTGTAACATAATCTTTGAAACAGTCTGGGCATGAGCTAATCACGACCACTTTTATAAATTTTGTTTAAAAAAAAAGAAACACTGACAATTTCAACAGGATTTTTTATCCGTAAATTCAACTCACAGACAGTTCTCAGTGAATGTTTACTTTGGCATAAATGTCATATGTCTATCATCGTTAGGATGTACCTTACAATGATATGATTGAGGGGAGATCTAGATTTCAAACAAGGGGGCTTGCTGGACTTTACTTGCAACGTTCGGGTGCTTCAATATTACAGTAAATGTAACAAAAATAGCAAAGTTAGAATACCGTCACTCTCATTGATGGCGAGGCAGTATATATACCGTTGAGATTTTCTGAATTTTAATACTGTAGTAAAGACAATCAACTCTAGACTCTAGCTGAAAGTTATCCAGTGTGGTTACACTGTGTGAAAAAATAAGAACGTTGTTACACTTTTGATACAATGTGTACGTTTTTGAAACCGCGACTGACGGTCAGGCACCATGTGGGATAAATACATGCTCATGATATAGTCAGACTCATACAATCGACTCTGTTTAGGGCAGAGATTTCTTATCAATATGGAAAGGGTTTTGCCGCCTTTATTTAAAAGGATGTACACTCTTTAAAACAAGAAACGCACAGGTAGTATGTAGTTCATTAAACCTGTGTACACAAAACATTCGGTATATTAATTGGATATATGTTATTGGAAAATGTTTGTGGCCTGATATTCGACAAACGGTGCTTCAAAAGGCAGGCATTGTCGATTTGCAACGTCCTAAACGGCATTGTTTTCACACCTGTTAAAAAATGTCATGGAGTAAACAGTAAAGCAAAATGCACGTGCAAGTTATGGCATTCGCAGCTCGTGGGAATGACTATAAAAAAGCAAGCATCAGCCAATAACGCTGCCGATCGAAACATCGCCATAGGACGTATCCAAAGAGGGGAATCGCATTATTCTGTTTCACGCCTCATCAACGTCCACCACAACACCATTTACCGCCTTTTGGACCCATACATACAATTCAATTACACTGCAGACCTTCCAAGAACTGGCCAACCAAGAGTTACCACCCTTGCACAGGATCGCTACATTCGACTGTTCCACCTACGTCATCGCAATTCCACAGCTACAGACACTGCATGACGCATCCCTGGTTCGAGGAGGATATCTGACCAGAGTGCCAGAAACCATCTTCGCGAGGCTGAATACGACCTGGAAGACCAGTTATCATCCTGTTTTGCAACAGATCCATCGACAGTGATGCTTGCGTTGGTGTCATACATTACAGCTTTGAAATTGGAGACGAGTGTTTCACGAATCACGATTTTCTTCTTCACTGGAGAGATGGAAGACAACGTGTTTATCGTCGTCGGAATTAGCGTTTTGCCCCACATTGTGTACGTGAATTTGACAATTTTGGGACATATCATACACCACGAGATCTGACTTGGTTGTGGTTCAGAGAACATTGAGCTCAACCTCACCTTCTTCCAATCACTGATTGCCAGAGAGCGCTGTTTCAACGGGACAACGCTCCACCGCACACAGGTCTCGTCACGGTAGACTACCTTCATAATGCCAACACCAACGTCTTGTCCTGGACGTCGAGATCTCCAGATCTCAAACCAATCGAACACCTCTGGGATGAACTCGATCAATGTGTAAGTCAACGTCAGAACACGCCACAGACACTCCCACAACTGGCCAACGCAATTCAGGCAGAATGGTGCAGAATTCCGCAGGACAGAATTCGTACACTTATCAAGTCAGTGCCGAGGGATGCAGAGCCGTGACTGCTACCCGGGGCTGTCAGACAAGATACTGAGGTCAGCGCAACCTTGTGGCCTTATGTGATATGACAATAAACATTTTTCAATGCCTTTGTACAACGACAACATGTGACTATCGAGCTCCAATATTTCATATTTGTATCTATTGTATCTTTCATTAAATGAAATATATCGACTTTATTAGGTACAATAAATTTGCTAAAAATGTACCTGTGATTATCTTTTTTGAAGAGTGTATATATCTGCCGTTTGTTAAATTATATCTACCACATAGTCCATGTGTTGTATGCAAATGTCATAAAGCCTTTTTGCATTGTGCCGCCCTGTGTTGCCACTTTGATGCAAGGCCTTGGCCGCAATGCAGTGACGTCATCGACAGTGTGATGCCTTTGCCGCCACATCCACAACCTTAACTCTATCTGAAGTCACCTGGTGCAGTGAGATATAAACAAACAGTTTTTGTCTCTTTCACGATTAATTGTACACTCATTACACACAATTAACACTGACTAATTATATTACAAGATAAGGTGTTTACACAATAATCACACATCATCTATATCTACTCACAGTTAATTTTCTTACCTGATCATGCGTGTTCATAACACAACAAATGACAAAATATATGGACAGATTTTTAACAAGTTTTATTTCTCCAAAAACACAACAAACATTCTCACCTAATCCGGAAATATATAACACGACGACATGAACGGCACAACACATGTCCAACGTCTACACAAACACGACACTGACGTCACTGAGCGCCGCGGGACACCAGGAGATCCACCAGTCTCTGATGTCCCCTGGATCTCACCATGTCAATCGGCTGTACTCCCGTTGTTGTTCTGACACAGGCCCAGTGAAGGATGTTGTCACCGACATCGTCCACCACTGACACATCAGCCCCTTCATTCATAAGGAGCTTCACCACTTCACTGTGTCCCATCAATGCTGCCCACATCACCGGTGTCCTTTTCCCAACTCCTCTACTGTTGATGTCCAACACGTTTAGAGACAGGACAAACTTCACCGTCACCAAGTTTCCACTCACACAGGCCAAGTGAAGGGTGTTGTTACCGCCATTGTCCACCAGTGACACACCAGCGCCTTTACTCTGCAGGAGCTCCACAACCTCTCCGTGTCCCCCCAGTGCTGCCGCCATCACCGGTGTCCTGCTCCACACTCTAAAGTTGATGTTGACATCACCCTCAGATAGGATCCGCCTCACCTCCTCCAGGTCCCCGTCCGCGCTGGCGTAGAAGAGGTCGCCGTCTACTTGTGATGAAGTCGCTGTGACACAAAGTAAACTCAAAGTGTTGATACGCGACATGAACATCGATACATCATTAACCACTTCCTATATGGATGACAACAACATACTAAGGACAAGGTTTATGTATTGAACTAAGTATAATCGATTTATGCGACATATTTAAAAATGCTTTCTTCTACATCCAGTAGCTGTAGCTGTATTCTGTGTATGGCTGGGGAGTGTTAACGTTTGTGGGCTGAGCTTTATAAGATGAAGTCAAACACTGTCAGTATAATTGCTGTTTGAAATTATTCAGATAATATTATATGTATAATTACAGTGCTTTATATCAGCATTTTCATTGAATACACTGTTTCAGTGAAAGGTTAGGTGTGAGCTTTCTGCCTGTTGGCTTCTCCCACCTACCGTGTGAAGCAGTGGAGAGCAGTGGAACCCTCTCGGTCTGGCTGTGATCCTCACTCGGGTCACTCGAGGCTGAAACTATAAATATATAGTACTGTAGTGATTGTCAAATAAACTAAATGACTCTCATAAATATACAACACAAATCTAAATGCTATCTACCCCGCGTGTTGATACGTGACAGGAACATCGATACATGATGAACCACTTCCTGTATGGATGACAACACTATAACGATGAGCGGAGTGGTTTATGTATTGAACTAAGAATAATCTATTTACGTGACATCTGTTCAAGTGCTTTCTTCTACATCCAGTAGTTGTAACACTATGCTGTGTATGGCTGGGGTGGTGGACTGAGTTTTAAAGGATGATAGTCAGACACGGTCAGTGCAATTGCTGTTTGAAATGATTAAGATAATATGATATGTATTATAACATTGCTGTACATAAGCTTGTTCATTGAATACACTGTATGTATGAAGGGTTAGGACTGAGATTTCCGCCTGCTGGGTTCTCCCACGTACCGTGTGAAGCAAGGGAGAGCAGTGGATCCCTCTCGTTTTGGCTTGGATCCTGACTCGGGTCACTCGAGGCTGAAACACAGAATATGGTTTTCAGAAAACTATATATAGCACATAGGCATTATTGATATTGGTCACAGACAATTTATTCGTATTCGACCAGTTTGATGGCTTGTGAAACGTTTACTACAGAACTAGATTTAAAATACGTTTATAATAGCAGAAGTGTAAATAGAAAGTAGTTCAGTGATTGTCAAATACATTTAATGACTCAAATAAATATACAACACAAGTAAAGATTGTTGTTCATCTAACCTATGTGTCTATTCACCTGCTTGTTTGATTGAGATTTATGATGGTAGATGACATTGTTTGAAATTAATAGGATAATAAGAGAATACATGCATCAACCTTTAGAGACTGTTTATAGAACATTTGCAGAGTAGAATCTAAGCTTTCTAGCTGATATGATGATCTGACCAAATATCATACAGAGTTGGACAATGACACTGTCTACCACATACTGGGTTCTCCCACCTACCGTGTAGATGAGACTCTTGTGTGGTCAATGGGACAAATGGCACTCTCTCCCTCCGGCTCAGATCCTGACTCGGATAACTTGAGGCTGCAACAGAATATGGTGGTCAGAAAACTACGTATAGCATATGATAAACATTATAAAAACTGGCCTCAGACAACTTATTGTCATTTAACAAATATTTTGCCAATTACAATGTTCACTCATGAATACGATTTAAACACATTTGTAGAAGAGGCATACATATCAGGTAGCTCAGTGATTAGTTAATCACTATAAATGACATAATACACAGTAACACAGAGATTTATAAGTATGGATCTGCTCTGAAGCCTATATTCGGCAGCAAATATCAGTAAACATTCCCAAATCAGAATAAAAACTTTCCCAAATCATGTTAGTCTAATTAATTGTATGGCTTTGTGGGGTCATCCTGTATTTCACTGATAACAGGAGTAGGAAGAGTTTTAATGCTTGTTTTATATTATTACACTGATGCTACAATCTTAATACACCGTTAAAAAACTCTGGAAGAAACTAAGAACTTAAAAATATCCCAATTTTTAACTAAATAACGATTTGTTCCCAAATCAGTCTTAGTTTACAATCCTGGAAATACCCCCCGTACAACACACACCTAGATAGTTGCTCATCTACCCCATGTGTCTTTATGCACAACACACACCTAGATAGTTGCTCATCTACCCCATGGGTCTTTATACATCAACACACCCCGAGATTGTTGCTCATCTACCCCGTGTGTCTTTATACATCAACACACATCAAGATTGTTGCTCATCTGCCCCGTGTGTCTTCATACATCAACACACACCTAGATAGTTGCTCATCTACCCCGTGTGTCTTTATACATCAACACACACCTAGATAGTTGCTCATCTACCCCATGTGTCTTTCTACATCATAACATAAAACAATTGTTGAATCCTATTTCTTATGTTTGAATCTAAGTGTTATGCTGTACACTGCCTTTATACGAACTTGTTGAGATACAAAGCCTCTCTTTGATAAAAATGATTACAGTAAATATATATTTGTAGTGAACATTATTTTTACTACATGGAAAGCAAAATCACATAATGTCTGCACATGACTAATATGTGAAAAGTAAACCTTCATAAATACAGGTGAATTGCTATATATTTGTTTGTTATTTCATTGCCGCGTCCATGTATTCAGATAATATATCTAATCATGTATTCATGTCTGTGAGAATCAATGCACACCGTTATTTTCTATTACCAGAAGGCAGAAGGACATGACGCCCTTCATTGTGGCAGGCCCTACCAGTGTAGTACCAGTGTTGTACCAGTGTAGTACCAGTGTTGTACCAGTGTAGTACCAGTGCCGTACCAGTGTTATACCAGTGTTGTACCAGTGTAGTACCAGTGTAGTACCAGTGTTGTACCAGTGTAGTACCAGTGTTGTACCAGTGTTGTACCAGTGTAGTACCAGTGTTGTACCAGTGTAGTACCAGTGTAGTACCAGTGTAGTACCAGTGTTGTACCAGTGTAGTACCAGTGTTGTACCAGTGTAGTACCAGTGTTGTACCCGTGTAGTACCAGTGTTGTACCAGTGTAGTACCAGTGTTGTACCTGTGTAGAACCAGTGTTGTACCAGTGTAGTACCAGTGTAGTACCAGTGTAGTACCAGTGTAGTACCAGTGTTGTACCAGTGTAGTACCAGTGTTGTACCAGTGTTGTACCAGTGCTGTACCAGTGTAGTACCAGTGTTGTACCAGTGTGGCAGGCCCTACCTGTGTAGTACCAGTGTTGTACCAGTGTAGTACCAGTGTAGTACCAGTGTAGTACCAGTGTTGTACCAGTGTTGTACCAGTGTTGTACCAGTGTTGTACCAGTGTAGTACCAGTGTTGTACCAGTGTAGTACCAGTGTAGTACCAGTGTTGTACCTGTGTAGTACCAGTGTTGTACCAGTGTAGTACCAGTGTTGTACCAGTGTTGTACCAGTGTTGTACGTGTGTTGTACGTGTGTTGTACGTGTATTGTACGTGTGTTGTACAGTGTTGCACCAGTGTAGCACCAGTGTAGTACCAGTGTAGTACCAGTGTTGTACCAGTGTTGTACCAGTGTAGTACCAGTGTTGTACCAGTGTTGTACCAGTGTTGTACGTGTGTTGTACGTGTATTGTACGTGTGTTGTACAGTGTTGCACCAGTGTAGTACCAGTGTAGTACCAGTGTGGTACCAGTGTTGTACCAGTGTAGTACCAGTGTAGTGCCAGTGCTGTACCAGTGTAGTACCAGTGTTGTACCAGTGTTGTACCAGTGTAGTACCAGTGTTGTACCAGTGTAGTACCAGTGTTGTACCAGTGTAGTGCCAGTGTTTTACCAGTGTAGTACCAGTGTTGTACCAGTGTTGTACCAGTGTAGTACCAGTGTTGTACCAGTGTAGTACCAGTGTAGTACCAGTGTTGTACCAGTGTTGTACCAGTGTAGTACCAGTGTTGTACCAGTGTTGTACCAGTGTAGTACCAGTGTCGTACCAGTGTAGTACCAGTGTAGTACCAGTGTTGTACCAGTGTTGTACCAGTGTAGTACCAGTGTAGTACCAGTGTAGTACCAGTGTTTTACCAGTGTAGTACCAGTGTTTTACCAGTGTAGTACCAGTGTTGTACCAGTGTTGTACCAGTGTAGTACCAGTGTTGTACCAGTGTTGTACCTGTGTAGTACCAGTGTTGTACCAGTGTAGTACCAGTGTTGTACCAGTGTTGTACCTGTGTAGTACCAGTGTTGTACCAGTGTTGTACCAGTGTTTTACCAGTGTAGTACCAGTGTTGTACCAGTGTAGTACCAGTGTTGTACCAGTGTTGTACCTGTGTAGTACCAGTGTTGTACCAGTGTAGTACCAGTGTTGTACCAGTGTTGTACCAGTGTAGTACCAGTGTTGTACCAGTGTTGTACCAGTGTAGTACCAGTGTTGTACCAGTGTAGTACCAGTGTTTTACCAGTGTAGTACCAGTGTTTTACCAGTGTAGTACCAGTGTTGTACCAGTGTTTTACCAGTGTAGTACCAGTGTTGTACCAGTGTTGTACCTGTGTAGTACCAGTGTTGTACCAGTGTTGTACCAGTGTTGTACAGTGTTATACCTGTGTAGTACCAGTGTAGTACCAGTGTTGTACTAGTGTTGTACCAGTGTAGTACCAGTGTTGTACGTGTGTTGTACGTGTGTTGTACGTGTATTGTACGTGTGTTGTACAGTGTTGCACCAGTGTAGCACCAGTGTAGTACCAGTGTAGTACCAGTGTTGTACCAGTGTTGTACCAGTGTAGTACCAGTGTTGTACCAGTGTTGTACCAGTGTTGTACGTGTGTTGTACGTGTATTGTACGTGTGTTGTACAGTGTTGCACCAGTGTAGTACCAGTGTAGTACCAGTGTGGTACCAGTGTTGTACCAGTGTAGTACCAGTGTAGTGCCAGTGTTGTACCAGTGTAGTACCAGTGTTGTACCAGTGTTGTACCAGTGTAGTACCAGTGTTGTACCAGTGTAGTACCAGTGTTGTACCAGTGTAGTGCCAGTGTTTTACCAGTGTAGTACCAGTGTTGTACCAGTGTTGTACCAGTGTAGTACCAGTGTTGTACCAGTGTAGTACCAGTGTTTTACCAGTGTAGTACCAGTGTTGTACCAGTGTAGTACCAGTGTTGTACCAGTGTTGTACCTGTGTAGTACCAGTGTTGTACCAGTGTAGTACCAGTGTTTTACCAGTGTAGTACCAGTGTTGTACCAGTGTAGTACCAGTGTTGTACCAGTGTTGTACCTGTGTAGTACCAGTGTTGTACCAGTGTAGTACCAGTGTTGTACCAGTGTTGTACCAGTGTAGTACCAGTGTTGTACCAGTGTTGTACCAGTGTAGTACCAGTGTTGTACCAGTGTAGTACCAGTGTTTTACCAGTGTAGTACCAGTGTTGTACCAGTGTTTTACCAGTGTAGTACCAGTGTTGTACCAGTGTTGTACCTGTGTAGTACCAGTGTTGTACCAGTGTTGTACCAGTGTTGTACAGTGTTATACCTGTGTAGTACCAGTGTAGTACCAGTGTTGTACGTGTGTTGTACCAGTGTTGTACAGTGTTATACCAGTGTTGTACCAGTGTAGTACCAGTGTTGTACCAGTGTTGTACCAGTGTTGTACCAGTGTAGTACCAGTGTTGTACCAGTGTTGTACAGTGTTATACCAGTGTTGTACCAGTGTTGTACCAGTGTTGTACCAGTGTAGTACCAGTGTTGTACCAGTGTAGTACCAGTGTTGTACCAGTGTGACAGGCCCTACCAGTGTAGTACCAGTGTTGTACGTGTGTTGTACCAGTGTTATACCAGTGTAGTACCCGTGTTGTACCAGTGATGTACCAGTGTAGTACCAGTGTTGTACCAGTGTTGTACCAGTGTAGTACCCGTGTTGTACCAGTGTAGTACCAGTGTAGTACCAGTGTTGTACAAGTGTTGTACCAGTGTTGTACCAGTGTTGTACGTGTGTTGTTCCAGTGTTGTACAGTGTTATACCAGTGTTGTACCAGTGTTGTACCAGTGTAGTACCAGTGATGTACCAGTGTTGTACCAGTGTAGTACCAGTGTAGTACCAGTGTTGTACCAGTGTTGTACCAGTGTTGTACCAGTGTAGTACCAGTGTTGTACCAGTGTAGTACCAGTGTTGTACCAGTGTGACAGGCCCTACCAGTGTAGTACCAGTGTTGTACGTGTGTTGTACCAGTGTTATACCAGTGTAGTACCCGTGTTGTACCAGTGATGTACCAGTGTAGTACCAGTGTTGTACAGTGTTATACCAGTGTTGTACCAGTGTTGTACCAGTGTTGTACAGTGTTATACCAGTGTTGTACCAGTGTAGTACCCGTGTTGTACCAGTGTAGTACCAGTGTAGTACCAGTGTTGTACAAGTGTTGTACCAGTGTTGTACCAGTGTTGTACGTGTGTTGTTCCAGTGTTGTACAGTGTTATACCAGTGTTGTACCAGTGTTGTACCAGTGTAGTACCAGTGTTGTACCAGTGTTGTACCAGTGTAGTACCAGTGTAGTACCAGTGTTGTACCAGTGTGGCAG